CAGCACTTCACAGAAGTGTAGGGTGGGTGACCTTTAACGCCCTGATCAGATCTCTGGGCTTTCGGTTGCCCACGTGTGGAGGGGGTGGCACATGGGGTAGGACTGGATGAGAGCCCCTTTCCCAGCAGGATGCGAGCTCGTATGACTCCCAAACTGGGATGAATAACCAAACCCTTGGTTCTCATGAGACACATGACATTTCAAGGAAATAGGAAACATCATGTGAATTTTGGAGTACTTAAGATAGTCAGTTTTCAAACAAAAAGGCTATTTAAGAGCCAAATGACACAGTTGAATGAGATCAGTGTATAGCCTGGAGCTCTGACAGGGGTGAACTCTGCTCCATTCAAACCATCCCTCCATGCAGGGGGTTGGAATTGACTCTGTGGCTTGCACTGAGTTTGTCCATCCTCAGCTCTTCAGCCCTCTGTAATCCTTGCTTAATGAGCGATTGCTCTGATTGTTGTACCAGCCTCTGGAAGCCAGTTTATATACAAAGGTGTGGAGCAGGGAACAGCACTGAGGCAGATCCACCAGACCTGACCCCAACGGAGAAGCAACTGGGCTGAATCCTTCCCCAAGATCCTAGCTTGTACGAGCAGATGGTCTCCTGAAACCTCTCCTCCTGGATTGATCGTGGGCGGGGGGAGCATTGCAAATACTTTCTGATGCTGTATTTCAGCTCTCTTAGAGGAAGGGAGATAAGGATTATGCAGGGGAGGAAAGAGAGGTCTTCATTCCCATCAGGGAAGCTCTAACTTCTGGTTCTCCTGAGGCAGACAAGGAATAGGGTGCCTCTATTTGCACTCATGGGAGAAGAGAACACAGCTATGAATGTGCTGTCATCACCTCCCTCACTGGCCAGGCCGGCTGGTGCTTTCTGCCATCACCTTCCTATGCGTTGCCCTTGCCATAACACTCCCCCTTCTTGCAGTTTCCATTAGCCCTCAGTAAGCAGTTGTATATCTTTGGGGATCTTACTTTATTTTAGGACCTATTTTAAGTGACACCTGAAACGGCTTTGCTTCCAGAACACCGTAAAAATCCCTTTGACAGGAGCAGACTGTGGTCTTGCAGCCTGAGAGGGCACAGCAAACTTGACCTGCAAGGAGAGGGACCTCAGCCCGCTTGGCCAGTTCCTCACCAGTCCCCACCGGTGACATTCCTCTGCAGTATTCGAGTACCATGGCAGCTCCACGCTGCTGTGGATACGATCTCTAGCCGGCAACCGAAGCGAGTGTTTGTGAAACCATAGCGTGTGAACCTGCCTTGTGATCAGCAGCCAAGCCGGCTGCATTCCCTAAACGGCCTCCACCACCTGAGCACTGTTGTGCCGGGGAAGGGTTGTCTCCCTCCCTGCCCCCCCCTTAGGCTTGGCTGGGAAAAGATCCGGCAGCCGAGCTGGGGAAGGGCTGCGGTGCTGTGCGGCTGCCAGGAAATCTGAACCCTCCAGGCAGGTCTTAAACTCAAACGAAGCTCATTAGGGCTGCTCAGCTCAGCTCAGCAAGGGGTTTCTCGCTGTCCTATGGTCTAGTACATCAGCTGTGTCACCTGCAACGTGCCCCTGACTCCTGTTTCCAGATCTACATACTGTAGCGCTGGGCAGGTACCTGCAAGCAGAGGAAGAAGAGGTAGAAGGCCTCTTGTGCCCACAGTACTAACGCTGGTGAGAGGGTAAACATTTTATTCCCATGTTCGTTCTTACTAATGAAACGAAGAGGGTCTTTAAAATAGGTCTTCCTATATTTCAGCTGCCATATAAAAAGCCTCTGGAGCATTTCCAATTTGTTAATGATGGGGGAATGCTGCTCCCAAGATATATTTTGCATTAAGCGAGTCTGGGAGAATCGAGGTGGAGACAAGGATCTGGAAAACAGAACCTACCCACTCCCACCTGCGTTCTTTAGGAGTCATGCTCCATCTTGTGCCTTTTGTGATGCAACGAATGGTTCAAGCTGTGCTAAAAGCCCAGCCCAAATTCAGCAGTAGAAAGTGAACCCGCCCAGCTCCTTGTGGTTAGGACATACTCCTGTGAAGTGAGAGAGCTGGGTTTGAAACCCTGAGGCTGATAAAGGAAACTAATTCAAGCATCTCATTTGCTGGGCAAGTTCCCTAACCACAGAGCTAGCATGCAAAAGGAGCAGGCTCTGTCCAAAGGGCTGATGGAGGAAACACTCCTGCACCACCTCACTGAGGAACACCAGCAGTTCGGTTAAACCCGTAAGCTTGGTCTTCCCTACTGGCTCTCTGCCGCGATGCAGGGTGGTAGCTTCCTGATAGCCTTTATGTTCTGAAACTTAATACACTGGGTTTTGGTTCACTCTTTCTGATAAAGCAGTTGCCTCCTTTCCTTAACACAAGCACTGCACTAGCAGGGAAAAGCCCACGTACTGTATTGGCTCTGGAGTGCTATCAATACTTGATGGACACTCTTCCATCCTTTCCTTGTGGGAGGAGGTGACCTATGACTGTTTTTTCCATGATAATGGTGCTAGTTTCTAACCCCTCCTGATGATGGAGTGGCGGAGGCATGGGCTGCTCTGCCACACTGGAGTGCTGAGACCCCAGGCTCATTCTGCACCATCACTCAAATTGTCTCTTCCTGGGTGGTAGGATCTACATTTGCTATGTTCTCCCAAACCTCTCCAGCCCAATTCTGCACGCTAACTCTTGAGGAACCAAGCAGAGCCCGGAGAGGTATAAACTATCCCTGACAGGAACCAAGTTTCCCCATCCTGAGGCCAAGAGGTGCTTGAATCAGTAATCTTTGGGCACAAATCATGCCTGTGCGTGTTTCTGACATCGTTTCCAATCACAGGAAATACTTCAAAGTGAAACACTCCAGGCAGAGTAAAGCATTGCCTGTAGCACACGCTCATTGAAACACCAGTGTTGCCCATAGACTAATGAGTGCCTGGGATCACTCCAAGTGCTACCAGGAGCTTGGTAAGATGTGAACCTTTGTGTTAAACTGACAACCCTGTTGTGGGCTGGGGACCAGGGCTGGGACAGCTGAGGTCAGATACAGCATATGGTTTTTCCCTTTCTTGCCTCAAGCAGCAACACAGAGATACATCATCACTGAACAAAGCTACAAAACGATCTGCCCTTCTCAGAACCCACGATGACCAGCCAACTGCTCTCTGCATAAAATTCAGCATTAGAGCACTGCGGCTGACCTGACTGCGACCATTCAGTAGCAAATTGCTTTTCTGTAGAGTTAGCACTGGGTTTGCTCCCCAGGCCCATGACTTACATGCAATCTGCAATTTTAATGACCAGTCACTAGATCTTAAAATGCTTTTACAATTGTTCTCCCAGGTTTACTTCCCTGAATGACACAGTGGGAGTTGTTGTCACCTCACCATTTTCCTACTTACTAGTATGTTGAACATCAAACATTCTCATGGAACAAAACTGATTGACAGATCAGCCTAATTACCATGCTACTACGCAGTGAGTCACGAGCATCTCTTCAAATGCCTGTTCCTTAGAGCAAATGGAAGAAGAGTGACTAAATCAGTTTCTGAATCTCCATCAGCACTCTAAACCATCTAGACATTATGCCCCCAGAAACCTCAGTCTTCCTCATACTCTGATGAAAAAGTATCAGTGGATCTAGCAGCCAGCGATGGAAGTAATAGTATTATGGCTGTTCTGTCCATAAGGGGCCACTTAGGTCAGTTATTTTAATACCAAAAAGCAGACCCGCTTCCCTGCATTTAGACCATTTTGCTCCACACCTTAAGCTAAAAATGGTCCTTTGAAAAAATCCTGGGCAGTAACAGAAACAAGTGTGGATCCAATGATGCCAGAGAGCCAACAATCCTAGCCCTCTCAAATGCTCAAGAACTCATCCTGGATCCAGTGGTGTACGAAGAAACTGTCATGAGGCTGTAGCCTTAACTATACATCAGTAAAGACTTTTTTAAGACAGTATGAAGGTTTAGCTGTTCACAACTGGCCTCTGGAAACTTAACGATGTAATACAGGGTTCTTCAATAATTGACTGATTCCCATCAGATCACTAGAAATGGGTACCTTTTCAAAGCTCAGCTCCACAGATAGCAGGCAAGTCATGTAACCGAGAATATAAAGAATGGCTGCTTTCCTACAGGAGAAACAAGACCAGACATATTTCACACAGTGTTATTCACACATTTTCATTTTGATTTTTACAATATATACATATGAACATTACATTATTCAATATGAGCCATCTGGAGTCAAACCTAATCAAACTGGTCCATAAACAATCAATATCAAAAAGCGATACTTGAGCAAAAAGTCTAGTGGTTCTACCCAAAGCCTAAAATAGTTGAAAGAAAAACCAGTGACTTCCATGCTCCTGGACAGAATTTGTGCAAAATGATTTTAGGAGAGCAAGTGGAAGATTATGTTCAAGATACTGAAAGCACTAAGTTATAGGACTGTTTAAATTCAACCATGGCATGAGTGCTACAGGGACAAAGTACTGGGACATTATCAGTTTCTGCCTGGACATCCCCAAAAGCCTAACTTACTGTCTTACATGTTGAAGAGAATGTCGACTCTGTGGATTATAGCACACAGCATTTGTACACAGGATAAAAATAGTCACTGAGGACAACTAACATGTCCAAGGAAGTGGCTCAAAAGTCATCCTTTGTGTGACTATGGGAAAGCTCTGGCTCCAGTGACAGGGCTTGTATGTCTCGAGAGGAATTTTGTGAACTGCCATGCAAAAACTACTTGGCTTTGAAGAATTGTGCTTACTAAAAATAATTAGGCCTACTACATCACTTAATGCAGGCACTAAATGACAGATTCAGAAACTGGAAGTAGGCCAGAACAAACTTTCCCATTTGCCTATTAATGAATTAACGCTACCATTAAAAAAAGTAGCGCCTCAGATGTATGTTTTAATAAGATTTATGTAAACCTGATATAAACAGTAATACAACAGAATTCCTTATACAAGTTTATACCACTACTATTTTCTTTCCTCATGATCAGACCCCTACCATAACAGCCTTTTATTTGATCAATGCTCAAGACATTGCTTTCAAACTATCTTGTTGATCAAAACTTTAGGTTAAGCCATCCAAATGAATGTTTTACACAAAATACTTACTTCAACAACATACAAAGCACTTTCTTTATCTTTCAGAAACTGAATATACAAAGTAAGCTTTTTCCAAAATATTTCCATAGGCAAAGGATTAAAAAGGATTTTAATTATACACATATGGTCACAATTCTGCCTTAAAAAGATCATTGGGAAATGTACATAAGGCCGCTTGTAAATGTACATCATCTTTATGTTACTGTTACAATGTCATATGTCCAGAGAAAAAAATTGACAGTATCATACATATTTGCTTTACGCTGGGAGAAGGCTATTCAAAAATACAGTACTCTTCTGTACAAAAAAATCATGCCACATTTATTAAGATGGAAGAAGCATTGGTTTCTGTGATAACCAAATATTTCAGTCCATTTCTTACTATGCTTATTATCCCGACTTAAAATTTGAACAGATTGATTTCCCAAAGTGTCCATATTAACAGAATCAACAGCTATGTTATAAACAAAACATAATGTTTCTCACAATAGATAAAAAGAAAGCCGGTTCATATTTCTGAAACCATATAAAGATAGAATTTAAAAAAATCACTCTTGATTTGCTGAAATAAATTTACATTATACAACACTATATGCCAGGGGGAGAAAAGGGAATGGGGATATGAATATACACTAAAATGCAAATTTTTGTCCCAAAAAGGGGTAAAACAAATTACATTTACAGCATGAAGGTTTACAAATGTACATCTGTACAACCAAGGTAAGCATCACTACTAAATTAGCAAGGCTTGTAATAAACATCAAAACGAGATATTTGTTTTCAAACTGTAAACTTACACCTATTAACTACACGTATACAATGCATATATTTATAGGAAGCAAAAAAGCTATTTGAGTATTTAATCAATCATGCTTAAATGTTGAGCTATCAAGTTTACTTTTCAGTGGCCCCTTTTCTCTTCATCAATACCTATGTTTTGCATCTACAGTGAGAAAGCAAAATAAAAGCTCAACACTTTCAAATCCTTACAATTCTATATGCAAAATAAAAAAATACAAATCTCTACCCTTCCTGCGTTGTAAAACTGACTGTAAAGTTAATACAGGGTTCACTCCTTTTCCAACAGTGTACTTTACTGAGTGGAAGTACCACCATCATTTTAATCCCTCTACCTTGTACAACAATTAAATATTTAAGTATATACAGCATTTCTATCTTTAATACATTGCTAGAGAAAACCTTAGGGCACCATTTTTAAAAAAACTGTATCCACAGCAAGTGATGAAAGCTAGTCTTTTAAAGTTTCCATTGTTTTGTTATTCCCTACTTTAATTTGCTGTGCCCTGTTTATTATTAGAATAGTATGTTGTGAACCACCAAAATACAACTTAACTTTTCAACATGTTAAATAATGTTTATGCAGCTGATCAATTTTAATCTGGTATAAAAGACTTCACACAAAAGGGAAAAAAATAAGGATTAATTCTATATACAACTCTATAAACCTGTTGTGCTATGATGCTGGGTAGACCTACCAGATTGCAAGCCAGTGTATTAAAAGAATACTGTACTTTTTCCCTTTAAAAACTATTTCAGTGACTTTACAAGGTAAAAATTTACAAAATATGTGACAGCTATTTTGATACAATTACATCATATACAGGCATTCTGTGCTTTGCCAGCCATCCAATCTGATAGGTCTCTGGATCAGGGCTGGAGATATTTTTTTCTTTTTTTTTTTTTAATAATTCACTCCCCAAAAATATACACAAGAATAAAAATTTTACAAATGGATGAACAAAGTCAATAAATAGATTTAAAAAAATCAGAACATTTATAGTTAAGTTGTATGTTTTGATCATTCACAATTCAATTTTTCTTCCATTTCTTTTTGTCTTTTACAGCATCCCATTTGGTGGTCCACCAATTGGCCCCAGATCAGCGCTGTTCTTCAGGTAATACTTTTCCAATTTGGCCAGAATGTGTTTGCCGTAAGTATATTTACGCAGAGTTGTGATGTGGGGTCGAATCTGTAAGAAGAAACCCATTATTTTTCCCCCCCCCTCAAAAATTTTAAGTAGACGTTACTACACTTTAAAAATATTATGTAAAAAAATGTCAGAAGCCCGTATTTCAAATTTTGGAAGTTTCTGGAAAGATGTAAAATTGGTGATTTTGACTCACCAAACAACTGACATACCTGTCACAGGAAAAGGGAGGTAGCAACAAGTCCTTTGTTGGTGACTGGGGGAAGCAGAGCTCCTGCAGGAATATACTGGGCCCTGCGTTAAATAGCCTAGGGCAATTATGGCAATAGCACTTTTGTCCATGTCTGGATATTCTCAAGTAGAAAATGTGCCCGTATGTTAGGAAGTGTGGGAATCTCTTCTGGGGGAACTGCAGAATGGATTTATACCAGCAACCAGCAAATAAAAAGAGAAACCTGTATTTCTTCTGTTATGTTAATAAAGATGACAGATACTACATTTTTATATTAAAAGTATTTTCACAGAAAAGCTGGCACAAAGAGAGGATATGAAATCCAACTTTTGAAACTTTTCTGTAGATTTACATTTTTAGCTCAGTGCTCAGAGACCTGAATATATTCTGCTTTACCAAGCTCCACTGAACTTAATGTTTATACATCAAGTTCTAGATTACAGAATTACTGAGTTTTACTTCTAGAGGGAAAGGTATTCTAGCAGAAAAATTAGTATAGATAATATTTTCTGAACCAATAAAACTATATACAAATATACCTTGTGCATTATTATCTTCCGCTGAGCAGGTTCAGCCATATCAATCATCTTCTGAACAACATAGTTGGCATACTGGTCCTTCATCATGGTGTATAAGGCACTGTGAGGACCATCATTCTGGCAACAGACCTCATCAATAAGTAAAGCTCTTTCAGCACGAGAAGCATGAGTTACACATTTTTCTACCACATTGCTGAAAAATAAGACAAATGCATTCTGTGACTTAAGATGTAACATTCTTTTAAGTAGCAATTTTAAATTTATCTGAACAGTTCAAGTGTCTTAAAAGAGTGCACTGTAAATGCATCAAGTCCTGATTTCCAAATCTTTAGTCTGTAATGACTGAAGAAGTTAAAGGATTATACACTCCTACTCATGTAAAAATGTAATTTTCTGATATTATTATCTTGGAGGAGAGATTTTCCACTGGACCTACAGTAGATATACTGGACCTCAGGTTGCAGACGTATTCTAGTACATCTATTTTGGTTGTGGGCCCTTTTAAGACACAACAGAGAAAGCCAGACACGAGGCTTCCTGCTTTCTGAATAAAGGCGCTTTTCAGGAGCATGCCTAGATTAGAGATACTGTCAAATATTTCTTTTTGTAGAGGAAGTCTCTGATCTTCCAGATATCTCAGAAGCTGGAATGGCCATCACATGGATACTTGGAACCCGTTCCCTGCACTTGTACAAAAACCATTCCATAAACCCGTGGAATCTTCTTTGTTTTGCTACAGAACAGCATTTCCCCTTTCCCTTCCCCAAATCTAGTATAAAATACCACTACCATTCATCTCCATAAAAATATGACATTTCAGGAGGCAAGTTACAGAACAGAAAAAATACTACAACTTTAAAAGGTTAGTGAACCTTTAATATATGAAGGCTGTGCAATACCTGGCAAATTTGTGCTGACTCAGAGCTAGAACTTTTCCTCTTATTTCTGAAACTATTTTACTCTTGTCTTCAGGACGACCATGCTCCAGTACATGTTGAATAACGTAATTTCCATATTGATCCTGAAAATAAGATGACTTCAATTTTCTTTTGTGTTCATACCAAGTAATCCTTACAGCTTTTGTATATTTGTATAAACTTTCAAACTACTATTTGCACAGATATAAGGAAAAATACAATAATGTCAACAGTATAGAAACAAAGTGATGCAAGAAATATTGCATCAAGAATTACTTAATGGACCACAAAAAATTTACATGCAAAATGTAAATAATCTGTAAAAACAGCATGTTGCTAGAGTACCTTTTATCCTCTTAAAGAAAGAAGTCCTCAGAATTAAGATCATCATTCTTTAACAGCCGTAATATCTCCCTGAACTTTGGTTCCCCCAAACAGTTATGTTTTAACTAGAGACTTGTATATACAAGAAACCACTGAGAAATAAGCTAGACTATGAATATGTAGCAAAAGGCAATTCTTGCCTTTTTATGTGTGGAAATTCCTACTGAACACCGAGTCCCTTCCAGTATTTTACACTGATTCAATTTCAAAGCCATTTGTAGCACTCATTTTGTTCATCTGAGACCAAGACAGGAAATCATGTTGTATAAGGTCTTTTGCCTTCTTTTAGAAAAGATGCCCTTTTGTGTAAGAATATGCAACATACATATTTTTGACAATATCTTTGTGTTCAGACATTATTAGAAGTTATCTGACGGACACCTGAGTGAATCAAGATAAACTACAAAAAGGCAATCTTTGCAATAAAAAATATGTACTAATTCTGTGCATTTACAATGTATATTCGAAGCTACAGTCAAAAGTGTAAGAAAAAGGCTTTTTATATCTTCTTTGCCTCCCAACTTCCAAATTCATTTTCATTAAAACTATGGAAGGAAAGAAAAACAAAAAAATCAATGTCTACAAAACTAAAAAGAGGCAAATACATTTAAACTATTTCTTAAACTAAGAAATAGCAATAAATTATGACAACAACAAAAAAGCTCTAAAATGCATTAAAAAAATGAATATACACACTAACCTGCACTAGCTGTTCTGTGTGTTGATGCAGTTCTTCTAAGATTGGCAAAGTCTGTTCAGCAGTACAGTGTTCCAGAATACGCTGAATTACTCTACAACCATATGGATGAGTTGAAAGTACAAATACCTTAAAATAGGATTGCAAACTTAAGTTAAACCAACCAAAGCTTACAGATATAGTAATATTACCATGTTCGAAATGGAACTGAACATGCCAACTACTTCTATTAAAAAAAAAAAGTTTTGCCTGCCAATATCAGAATTCCACCTCCAGTAGAAGTCAGGAAAAGATGAAAATGCAGTTTTTTGTGTGTCAAGGACTCCAGTAATTACACAACTAAGAACCCAAGTTTTCATTACAATGTTTCTAGCCTATTTCGCTGCAAAGGAAAGCCCGGAAGTATGACCCTGAGTTAAGCACTGTTCACTTTCAAGCTTTTCTTTTAGCTTTGTACTTCGTTTTCAAATTTTAAGATTTTGACATTTATAAAAAGTTCAATTACTGTGGCTGATTTTCACTAATTTCACATTCCAGCATATACAACAGGCTCCCTGTTACAGATACAAAGTTTGTAAATAAGTATTCAAAACATACAGTCAAAACCTTGCTTATTCCTTTTGCTTGCTTCTCAGGAAGCCAGGTTTGTGTTTTGGAGATTAATTCAGCAAATTTAAGAGTCAGTGTTGGTCAGAACTGAACACAGAATCTTGTCTGATTAGACATAGATCAAAATGATGCAGGCAGGTGAAAAAGATACATACTGTTACATGGCACGACTGAAGTGTGGTATTTTTCATTTGCCACTTCAGATCAGCTTATTTTTTTTTATATATAGTTACTTGGAGCTGAGGATGGATGTCCAGTAAACAAACAGATTCACATTTTAGTCAAGGGGCTCTATTTACAGTTTAGAAACTGCATCTCATCTACCCCATACACACTTTTTGATGTAAAAAGACCCAGCCCTAGAAACTCTTGGTATGCCATTTACTACTACGTATAACAATAATTCAGGTATTGCTGTTGTGTAAAATGTCAGAAGGATATTGTAGATTTTGTTAAGAAATACATTTGTCCATCCATTAAAGTAAAATTTAGTAACACAACCAAGTTAGTAAGATTTTTTGCAATTCTTCTCAAGACTATAAAAATACACATTTGTCTCAGTATTAAAATCTTATTTAGCTGCAGCATATTCTCTAGCCTGCAGCACAGTATCAATCTTATATTAATAACTTTTTTGGAAACAAAACGAAAACCCCAACCTTAAATAAATACCGCTCCCCTTCACTTAACACTGGCCCATATATAGGGAACAGATTAGTATATTTCTTCAAAATATTTCCTTAATGATAGACATTAATTGGGAAACACTGAAAGACAGATTTGCAGCATAAGCAACAGAAGAAGAAAACAGAAATTTTAATGAAAAATATATGCTAGAGAACAGATACTTTATTATCGTATCAAAAATGGCAATGTTAAAAGTTATAAAGGAAATTTGAAATCGCGTATCACAAAACTCAAACAGAAAGCCCGGCCTTAAGCCGAATACCTCTATTGGTATTTACAATACACCCAAACAGGTCTTTCTAGAGCCTCATCTCCAACAGATTAATCTTTTTACAGCATGTTAACTGTCTCTTCAACAGCTTTTCCATTTTATTATCCTTTTTTTATCCTACTTAGAACAAGCTGACTGCAAAGTGTCAAACACTATCTTGTATATGCAAATGATGGAAAAAAATCTGCAAATCAAAGCAACCCTACAGAAGAGGAAATGAATTGTTGACACTACCTGTCCTTTGAATGCATCAATGATGAACTGGAGCGACTGGGGTTGAACGCACTCAATACATTTTTGTACAACATGGTTTCCATTTTGATCTTTCACACATTTCAGAACATGACCATCCAACTCTTTCACCATTTCATTCTGGAAAAAAAGATTATCCTTGTCTTTACAATGATTTTTTTCTCTTCCCCCCCCCCCCCCCCGCCAAAGGAATATTCCATTTCGCCCTAACTGTCCAATCTTCAACTGTCAACTATTTCAGTCCCTAGGGCATTTCATAATGAAAGGAACAATCAACAATTCAAGCAAGTAAATAAAAATGCAATAAAAAGAAATAAAATTAAAAAAGTATTGTTCTAACTTACAATTACCTGCTGGTCAGGTGAGATTGACTCAAGTGCTTTCTGAATAACACGACAACCATACATCTGTAGGGCTAACGGCAGAACATGACCACGTATGCGTGTTGCTAGGGCTAACTTTTGATCCAGGCTTCCAAACTAAAAGAAAATAAATATGCTGTTAACAAATGAAGACATGTTGCAGCATGCTGGAATTTACGTATCAGAGTAAGTACTTTCATGATGTGTTACAGGTTTACTGCGTGCCTTGAATGATTTTTCCCTTTGTATTTTTTGGTGGGTATATTTACCAGAAGCTTTTACATTCTAAATGCAACATTTTGTGACATTCCACATTCCAGTCACATACCTGCTATCAAATGCATGACCTTAAAAGACAACAGAAGAGATCAAAGTAGTTTATACTTGACTGTCTGTAGGAATATTTAAGTGCAATAACCCACTTATTTAGACAAATTGTACCAGGCAAATTAATTACAGATTACTGTAACGTATTAATTCAAATCAGATTTTCTCTGGTATCTCAAATTTATACAGGTCAGTGTATCTTACATCTTGTATACAGTAAGCAAGCTGTAAGAGGAGGGGGCGGGAGGGAAAGATTTCAACTCCTGAAGTAGCTTCTTGGTAACATCACGTGGCTTGAAAATCAAAATGGTTTTGTACACTGGCTGTATTACAGTATAATGCAACAAACGTTTTTCAGCAATAGCTAATTCCTGCCCTTATTATTCCCTACCACCTTCTGTGCTGCTCCATGTTAAGCACAGAAGCCAGTCAAGCTTCATAATAATACACATAACCCTGTTCCCAGATCCCCACACAAGCTCCTCAGTTGGCACAGTACAAGAGACCACACAGAAGTGATCACCTGGGCAATGAGCTGAGTGGCACCAGCAATATTCATGCAGCACTGCTGAGAACTGTCAAACCCCATACCTGTAGTCACCTAAGGCTCTGAAGAAAGCTCAAACAACTTCGCCTTCCTACTTAAATAATGAACTAGGTCCCTTACTACATCTAAGGCCTAGTGCACTTTTTTCTTGAAAACTTCGGCAGAATTAAGATGAAAACACTCAATTGACAATGATTATCTATGTATCCATCCAACCTAACATTACGGAAAAAAACGCCAATTGATGACCCTTGAACAAGATCAAGATCTTACAGACCATATGGCAGCCACACTTTTTAGAAGATATTTTGATTTGTAAAAAAGAGTATCAAGTAAAAAAAAAAAACGTGAGCACATTGTTTTGTAGATTACTCATTAAAAACTACATTCCTGTTTACAGCAACCATCTTATTTCTTACTGGACATTTTCCAGCTTTGCCTTCTATCCACCCAGATACTTTGACATGGTTCTTGATTTAAAGTACACTTTAAAGTCACCTTTCCTACATATAACTTTTTCCAGGACACAGGTATAGCTTTTTCTTCTCTCTATAAGTCAAATCTTGTAACTCTTTGATAAGGCTTTTGGTTTTTTTTACCCCATAGTTTTCCAACAAAAAACAAAGGTGTTTTAAATACTGGTTTTAGTAATATTGGATGTATCTTATGACATCCCTTCCTCAAAGTTCTTCTGCCTCAATACATTCTATGTGAGTTTCTTCATATACAGCACTGGATGAAGTTCACAGAGCTATTTATTTGGGTGCAAGAGCAAGACCATTTTCCAACATGCAGTAACCAATAAAAAAGTATCCTTCAAATCTTTATGTTCCCCATCATCTGCTGAAAGTATCCGTAAATTACGCTAAAAGGCTTGCAAAGCCTGAGTGTGTAGCCTGTACATTCACCGATGTTCACCAACGTATGCACCACCAGTGTAAAGAGCAATTGTGCCTGTTATGAAAAAAAGCAGGGCATACAGAACAGAAAACACGTGTGCAGTATTAGGCGCTTGGGTTCTGTGGTAAAAGTCCAGTAGAATTCTGCTATGATGTTAAGAAAAAAACAGTTAAATTTAATCAGATTTTACAGCATTTCATTCTCATTTCTGTTCATACACTTAGTGTTACGCTTACCTCAAAGAACTTCTGTATTACATAGTTTCCAAACACATCAGTCATCAATTGATATGCTGCTTGCAGGATCTCATTAAATACCATCTGGCGCTCAGCTGGAGTAGCTCGCTCCAGCTTTTGCTGTATAAATCTAAGTGCAAAAAAAGGTACATTATGCTTTGCATAAACAACAGGAAAACCTCTCAAACACTGTTTCAATGAGACACCTCAAAATTGTAAAGCAAGTATTCAACATTTATAAAACTTATTAAAATGAAAGTAGTGCCTTTGCATATAAAAGGATACATTTTAGTAAAATGATACCTAAAAACTTTCATTTGAAAGGGATTAAGGATGAAAAGAATAACAATAACTAAGTACCTGATGATGTATTGCTGAAAAATGGTTTTACATTCCAGATGCCAGATATTTTGTTTTCTTAATCAACGCCCTTTTGATACCTAAATACTAGAGTTTACAAGTCTAGTTATGAGGCTATTTCTACACTGAGAACTTCTACAAGCAGCTAAATTTATACTACTTTTATAATGAAATTTCCTAGAGAAGAAAAAGGTCAGTGTAAGAGCATATGCTCCAATTAATGGCATGCTTTGTATTAAGATGACTAGCAGCTCATTCAAATGCTTGATGTTAATATAACTGTATCAAAGCAGTAAAATATTATTAAGTTATTAACTTTACTATAATAATTACCTAGAACCATGCTGGTCTTGGGAAAATTCAACAATATGTCCAACAAGGTCTCTCAGTTGAAGATTAGGGAAACGATTGTTTCTGAAATCTTCCAGCAATCGACTACGTCCAGAAGGCATAATATCAGACCTACTGTAACGAAGGCGTGAAGGAGGGAAGAGCTGACTGGTGGAGCTAAAAAGACTGGAGGTACTTGCCGCACTGCGATACTTTGCTTCGGCGCCAGGTGCTGCAGAAATATAGCGACCACTACCATTTGTCAGTCCTCCTACAAGGAAGCAGTTCTGTCAGTAAAAGCCGTAAGGAAAATAAGCAACAGCAAAACAGTAAGTGTACTAGAACTACGGATACACCCTGGAGCCAAAGAAAACAACAGTGTTGTCTTGTTATTTATATTTACCTCATTATGGTTGGAGGAGTTAGATAGCTTTATATTCCAATAAATAAAACCATTCTCCTCATTTTTATTTTATGTGAAGGGCACCAAGAAAAGAAATGTCATTAGAAGAATATAATGAAGCAGGTAAAGTGAGCACCCACTCAGACTTACAGAAACTTTAAAACTGGGTGGGCCTTAGCTTAGTGGGCAGATTTCCCCTTCGCAAGTAATACTGACTTATACCCTTGTTAGTAGTCTCAAAGTTAGCCAATTGTTTCAAAACAGACCATGAAATCTGAACTACCCTTCAGTCCCTACTGAGGTACCTTTCCAACTTACAGTGTGAAAGGGCATTTTTGGGGAGGCACACATGGTGCCTCTTGTCATGCTGTACCGGTTCTGCACGATACTTGATGACTTCAGCATCCCAGGCTTTCAATCTGGTACCTCTTGTAAGCACTAAGTATGTCAAATTTCAAACCAAGTAACTAAGAATGCTCTACTTAATTCTAAAACAACCAAAGATACATCAAACTCAAGTTCCTTTTAGAAACATGAACTCCTTTCCTTGCTGCGAAAACATTCACCATTCTCACTACACTTCGTCCTTCCTCACTTTCCAAGAACTGAATTGCCTTCCTATGTTTAGGTCCTACTCCTTTTTGCTAGCGATTCCACCTACAGCTATCATCATCTCACAGTCCTGTGAATTTCTCCTCACGTACTGCTCTCTAATCAGTTTATGTCACTCTGAACTCCTCCAGTAGGCCTCTCTCCCTCTCCTTTACAACAGGCAGCAATTATCACAATAAGCATGCAAACAAAGCATCTTTCCCAACTACAGTATGATGTTAAAAGGGATACTGCTACTACACTACAAGCAGAAATATTCAAAGACAATTCCCACCTAGAAACTTCAACTCTACTACTTAAAAAAACCCCCAACCTAAAATTATCATTGAGTATGAACTGGAAGAGGAAAGCATTTTCAGTTTACCTACAAATTATCTAGAAAGTGATACAGTAACTGAAAGCCCTTTCAAAGTCAACAGAAGAAATACCTACATTTGAATTTAAAACAAATTGCAGTACGTGCTGTTTGAATGGTGCTCTATTACAAAATTAATTAAAAAAAAAAAAAAAAAATCAGCTGACAGTGCCCCAGCCAAGCCTCCTTTTGGTTCCAAGTATTTATAAGGCCAGGCAACAACAGTGTTACAGTAGGCTGGTAATGCATTAATGGTAAAGTATCTTTTTCGAAAGCTCAAACTGCAATACCAGCATCTGAGATGTTAGTGCTCTGCAAGACGTATCAAGCATCACATTTATTGCACTGTATAGGACTATGCCCTAAAATAGAAATAATTAGTATTTATTTTACAATTAGTTTTCAAAATTCAGTGGTAAGAATCAGTAAAGAATCAGTAAATACTTTATGCCCCACAACACCTTTTAAAACCCACTAGGTTTTCTTTTAAATTCTTCTTTTAAATAAAGCTTCTTAATTCTTTACAGCCAGAAGAATCAAGTCTTTTTAACTATCATTTTTAGTTTCCATTGGCAATCACTGTTTCCAGAAAAGAGCCGACAGCGACATGATACTAACAGACAAAAAGAAAAAAGAAACCCGACATACTGCAGGTGAAGCAATATGCAGAGTGATGCTCTACAGTCACTTCTCTTCTAGGAATAGCCTTCTAAAGAACAAAAAGTTATGCACTGAAATCATGGTATTTCTCATCTAGATTATTTAAATATATGAATGAAATCCCAGCTTCCCTGTAAATGTTCTGTAGTAACACTACTTCATGCCACGAGAGGGCAGCAAAGCCCATTTAAAAGGAAGTCTTACTGGCTACTTTCCTGTTGTAGCATCTCTATTGCTCCACTGATCACATGCTCAATTCTGTGCCAGAAACTAATAAGGTAGTTTTGATTATATGCTCATGGATCTGATTTGCATAGAGAGTCATGGAACTGCACATGTGAATGAGGAATTGTTTCAGCTTTTCTTTTTTTTTTTTTAACTAAGCCTTTACGTAAGTATAAACTAAATGTGACAGTTTATCCAGCAACTAAAACAGAAATTAAGAAACTTGGTAGCTTTTAACAAATATGCTACATATGTGTAGTAGAACTGCACGTATACAATACATTTCACACTCAGGATTATCAAGCCTTTCTTCAGTCTAATTTGGGAACCATCCCTTTTTAAGACCTGTAAGACGACTATGCTGCAACTGGGAGACTCCTGTCTAGCCTGTGAAACTACTTAAGACGATCACGTTAAGCAGGATCATAACACAGCAACGCTGAAAACATCCATTGTACCTAGAAGAACCTGTCATACTTCAAAAGCATACAGACAGCTTAACCTTGTAAAACCCTGGATGTTATTACAAAAAACAGTAATTTAATAGGTAATTAGCTTTTCTTCTCACGTAACCTTTTATTACAGCAGCAGTGTTATAGCTCAGTGGCAACTTTGCAGATCTGAAAAATAGTAAAACCCCCAAATAAAAGCATATTGTCATAGGTACTTATATATGCAGATATACTCTTGTATACAATGGACTATCTTCTTAAATATTGTACTCATTACTTTCTCAGTCCAAAACCACCAAAGCATTAGTGCGGACATTACGGACAGCTGGTCTCCTTCCTGAAAACTTTGAGTGTCAACAGCTTAGAAACGGAAAACTGAAATCTGAATTCTAGTTACACAAATCCTCCTGGTTAGCCTGCTGCATCCCCATGCTCTTCAAGAACTCAGGACACTTGTTTTACAGATTCCGATTCTAAACTAGAAGGGTAACAGACTAGGTCTTATAAATTATTTGGGGAACATACCCTACTGAATAAAGCACCTAGTCTAAACATTTCTGCAAACACTGGAATTTTAAAAGACTTATCAGGCATCAGTATAGCCACACAATTACAAACCGCTGGGGAATAAAATGCACAGTTCATTCTTCAGATAATCACTTAGCTATCACTTCTGATCTCATAAAACAAAGATCTCTGATGCAATGAATAACATTGTTTTACAGTTTAATTGAACCTAAATCCCTGTGGCTAGTCCACAGGGAAGAAGAGGCACAGAGGTATAAAGGGGATACAGACCATCTAAAGCAGAGCCTTACTAAGCTTCAAGGACACAAAGGATGTTAAATTACTAACTCCTCAACATGGATAGCATATTTAATATAAAGGAGAACATGAAAAAAATACTAAAAATTAGACCTAGGCACATTTATTTTGATAGCATTAGTCTGTTAGTACTTACTACCGAAGTATTTCTTCAATCATTTCTAACCAAGACATAAAACAGATTTACTGCACAGTAACTGTTTTTTAAATGTCAGCAATATTATTTTCTAGTAAAATATGTAGGAGTATATAAACATTTTAAACTTGCTTTCTACAAAGTATTTGTTAATCTGTCAAAAAGTAGCTTCATCTCATCCTCAGCTAAAAATGTCATCTTCATATGGAAAACAGAATTACACATATATATGCATATATATGTATGTATATTTTATGAATCAATGCAAGTGCTTATTACGCCTGGTTTACCGAAGCCCTACAGAGTAGGTACAGAGCAGAGGCAATGCAAAGTTCCCCATACTGTCTTGTATGTAAAGGGGCCTTTACTCTTACCCAGAATGACCACTTCTGAAGATAAAACACCATCAGTCTAAACTACTAACAAGCTTGGCTTGCAACGCACAGAAAATAATTACCTCCAAAAGCCCAGATTTTAAAAATCCTTCTCTACATCAAACCCTTAAAATGCTGCAATGTACCAAACAGTAAGCGCTACCAATCTAAAAGGATTTTTTGTAACATAGGAAAAATACTTCCTCTTGCAGTTTTTTGTCCCTGGGAGTGAAAGGGTAGTTCAAATTCATGACCTTACTGCTCCAGCTGATTACAGTAAAGAAGCAGTTGCAGACAACTGACAAATCCCTTCAAATACAGGAAAACTGACACTAGAACAAAGTAATTGGCACATTCCTATTTTAGGATGTTGGATAAGAGTTTGTGAGAAGAGATAAAAACCAGTAAAATACCATTCATTTCTTGTAAAAGGGAAAATGGTCTTTTAAGCTACAAATTGCAGCAGTGTCTGACAAAGGGGTTATAAAACCATGCACCCTTTCCCAGTATTGTCCTCTAGTATTCTGGTGGCTGAAACAGGAGCAACCGAGTTTGATGCCCATTTTAAAATAGGAGTTAAACTTAGCTGAACCTGTTGATATAAGCAGGCAGGACGACAAGTTTTGAAAGTGGAGGGAGAGCTACATTTGACAGGCATTATCAGAATACCAATGGAAACTGCATGCAGACATAAACTTAGAATGTTGTTCTACTCTGAAAAGTGACTACGTGTAATCAGACCCTTCTTAAAATATACTCTGTTTGATTTCAGGTATAACTTCTCATTTGGTGAGAAAGCTTTATATGTGAGAACAAAACAAATGCTTCCAAGAGTGGTTGATGAACACACCAGAATAAATTTAACAGGACAGACAATTAACTGCAGAAATAGTCTTCAACTTTTTGCAATGGTGCACCTTGGATGTGACTGCAAAAAGATATGGCACAGGGCAGAGTGCAGGAAATGCTAAAAAAAATCACTGCATTTTTATGAAAGCAAAAATCCAGAAGACCTCAGATTGATTTGGCAAGGTAGCAAAAAGTTTACCCATAATGAAGGTCCATTTTATTTGGAAGATGAAGAGGCAGTACACAAGGAAGCCAAATTGTGTCAATTTTCAGAGTACAACTGTACATTCTGGCCTTTACACACTGATCTAGTACATGATTTTAACAAACTGTTCTGCTTAGTTCACACTGCGAAACAGTCCAAAATGGATTAAAATCAGTGTTGAACAATTTCTGCTGACAGAGGTAATCCTCTATACTGATGGCAGCTTATTTTCTCAGAACTGAAAACAGCCTTTTAACATTTATCAAATGTGAAACAACACAAAACTTTAAATGTTTTGAATTTTAGATAATGCCTTCCAAAATTTGGTTTAAGTATAGTTTTCAGTAATATGAAAACTATTGTGAGAGTACTTTGAAAAGAAAGAAAGAAAAAGATTTCCATGATAACCCCATTGTCAGATGTTCAGAACTTTCTCAAAAGCCTCCATTTGGGCTGAAACTTTCCATGCTTGGTCTCAGCCCAAAGGTGCACTTTGTAGACCTGAAAAAGGAAAAAAGGTAAGTAAAAAAAAATAAAACGTGCTGAAAAATCCCCTTGCCCAGTTTTACTTCGGGTATTCAGCACTTAACCATGAAGGGGACACTGAACTGTAAATGTAATATATTTAAATCACTTTTAACCTTGTTATACAAATCACTCACACATTTCTCACTTAAAGTGTATTTTGGCAGGCACTTTTAAATTTTTTCCTGTTTTATTTGCACTAACAGAAGTACAGGGGATTAGGTTGCCTATTACATGCACAAAACTGTGCACGGAATAGTTTCTGGAGCAAAAGGCAACTCAATCTTGAAATTACATCCAGTTTCATTGTATGACTTTAGCATCCAAATTAAATGACCACAAATATTTGCAGAGAAAAAAGGGCAAGTTTATCAAGTAACCTCAAGTTAGAGGCATTCTCTTCTAAGTATACTGTAGGCTGTGGTGAGGTTTCTTTAGATTTTTTTAATTTTATTTTATATTTAAATTTTTTTTAAAAAGGTTGAGCTCCCATGTCATCTAACTAGCTCAAAAATTTTCTGAAAGATTACTATCATCATTCCTTAAAAACTACATCTGATAACAGAGAGCCACCACTGACAAAACCTTTGCTACTTCTTTCACAAATGTATTTTCTTTTTTTCCACCAGACTGGTGATAAACTATCGTCTTCCCAGCAAAGCACCTGGGCCATGAGGTAGTAGGCTCACTGATTAAAAAAATCACCTTTCAATGCATTTTACGTTAACAGCTTTGCTCACTTTTCTACTTTATCATGGTAAGGGGCAGTAGTGAAAGTCACTTCACTGTTAAACACAGTATCATCTTAAAATGTCCTTAAAGTGGTAATACACTGAAGAAACAAAAATAATGCACCTTTGCTTGTCATACTGTAGAAACATAATACAAAAAGGACCAATAAATCTTACTGGGCTCTCTATCGGGTTTCTGCAAGGGAAGAAAAATCAGTTGTTGGCCCGATACTGCAAAAAGCTGAGTGCCCTCCACTGTCAAATCAATGAGCATTTGAGCGTGCTCTTCACCTTTCAGGAATGGCCCCTCTTCATTACAAAACTGTTTAACAGCAAAGGTAATGTGACATCTCTTATGCAACATATATTTTACACACAGAAATACATACACACATACAAACAAAAAGTGTTTTTTTGTTTTTTTGTTTTTGTTTTTTTTTACCTAAATGCAAACTGGATGAGGATCCATGTGATGAAAGTGATGGCGGTGGCGTAAGTGAATGTCCTGGCGTTTGGCTTGGCAGAGGCATGCCTATTGGACTTGGAGAGGAGGAAAATCCCAGACTATTGTAAAATGGCTGCCCTATGGGTGCTAGGCTGCTACTAGATCTTTTGTACAAGTCAGAGCTAGTAGATAGAGAATCTCTCCTTGTGGCACTACTACTTGCAGAACTGCCAACTGAAGAAGAAATAAAAAGACCCTAATTACACAGTGTCAACTGAATAAAACCTATCCCCAACTACAGCTGGGCAATAACAGATGCGATCACAATAATTACAGCAATCGTTATGACAAAGACAATTACTGTGATAACCACACATGCTTTTAAGTAAATCTAAGTGGGTATAAACATACCACTGATAAGTAATTTCACCAATGCCCATGTCTTTCAACATTTCATTCTAGACTTCTCACAGTAATATTGCAGTACTCTGTTTTAACCGCCTGGCTTCAGGCTTTGGGACAAATATGGAATTTATGAGATTAGATTACACTGTCACTTTACAGAATAAATGATTCTAAAAATACTTCCACTAAACTCTTTGATAAAATTTTTTCCACCATAAATTATTAGTCAGACAGTGATACTTGATTTCAGGCAAAAGGCTAGAGACAATTGGTTGTTGTTGTTTAAGGGTTCAGAAAATAATCTATGTTGCTGTTCAGCTGTTTCTGAACTTCCTCTTGTTTGTGAACCCCTCACCTGTAGGAAAAAAATGACTGCTTAAAATTCCTTACGAGAATTATGGTTCTCAAAGAAGTGTTTTGAAAAGATAATATAAAGGAGGAATAGGCTAAGAAGAAGATGAGAAGCAGAGCAGAGATAGGAAAATTAAGGTGAGAAAATAAAAATGTAATTTTACTGCTACCAGTATTTCTGAAAGTCAAATTAGACTAGAAGCTTTGGATAACAGTGTATTAGTGAAGGACTGGTTATCCTGCACAGCATCATTCAGCAGGGCGATGAACAGTCTAGGATAAATTAGGAGAACAATAAAAAGTTTTTAGAAATGTTAAATTCTAGTATCTGTTGCATACTACTAAACTACAGTGCCTGTTTTAAACACTGGAACATTATTATACTCATGAACAAAACCAAGATTATGGATATTTTGATATCAAAGATGCTTAAGCTGAATTTGGAAAATTGATTTCTACTTCAACTTAAAAAGGAAAAGGTCAGAATTTATACTTCCATAACCTTTACCCTTGTCAGGTACCTTCCTACTAAAGCTGGCAGCATGGCCCAATATAAAGGTCACCTGATACTTCCCATTTTAAGACACTAATTTGTTTTCTCCTAACATTAGCAACTTGGCTAACACTTTTCACGGCAGGTACCTGCTTGGACCAAATTTTTCAAAGAAGTTCTGCCCAAACAATACTGCCATTTCAAAAAACAGGCAAGGAAAGATGCTTTATCCTTAGCAAAATAATCCAGCTACCTATTATTTGAGAAGTTAATGCTTTCATGTACTCAGACCAATGTGCTAGCAACAGGAAACCTTTATTTTCATGCTCTCTTTGATTGAGCTAAAAATCTTAGCAAAATCACAGTTCATACAAGTTCAGCACAGATCTGCTACAGACTCATAGCTGAAAACTTAAACTCCTGTCCATACACGGCACATCTGAGATGGCTGATAAAGGTTTTCCCTGCAATTGAACTTCTAGGCTTCTGTGTGTCATGCCAAAAATGGACTCTGAAACTGCTGTCCAAGATCCCACCATGTGTTCGGAAGGCCCATCAGGCAGTGTGGAAAGGAAGTTTTCTACTTCAAATGCAGAGGAGACAAAAGCCAAACGCAAGAAATAGACCAGGGAAAAAGAAAAAAGAAAAAAAAGAAACCAGAACCAGGAGGAGAGAAAGGTCAGACAAAGGAGCCAACAAGGAGACTGCAAGAAAACTGGCAAGCATTTTCAAAACCAGTGGGACTGAGGATGAAAAGAAAGCAGATCTGAAGAAAAGTTAGGCTGTGGAAGGTACATGTGACTGTGGGGCAAAAAGGCTGGAATAGTAAGCTGATGATGGGAACATCACACAGTACAAGCAGAAACAAACATATTTGGCAGGGGGAGGGGAAGCGGGAGATAAATGTTGCCTGGAAACTGGGAAGGAAGACATACTAGAGGAGAAGCCAGAAGGAAAAGATACTGGACTAACTAGGCAAGGAGATTGAGAATAAGAAATCAGAAGAGCAAATTAAGGCAACAGTTGAAAGAAATCTCACGATTTGAGACTAGCTGTACAGGTTCTGCCTCAGCTGGTGAACCATGTGAATGTTAATACAATGCTACACGATGGATTGTTATTTTTCCAACTATGAAAAAAGCTAAGCGAACTTTAGCGTTCTTTCACGGTTTCTTACTCAGCTAAATTACTGCAGCTTAACAAGTTACCGTGAACCAGTTGAACTACATTTTCACACACACACAAGCAAAGCTCACAAAAACCAGAAGATAATTTGAATTAGCTCACCCCTCTTCACCACTGTCTAAGCTAATGCAATTACTTTACACTTGTTACAAGCCAGAAGTGGGCGTCTGGAAAGCTGCCATAGTTGATCTAATTCTTAGTTACCTGTTAAGCTGCAGTAACTTATCATTTACCTAAACCTTTAAAATGGAGTATGAATAATTTTATAATAAAAGAGCAGAGACTGTAAAGTACATACAGCCGTTTATATGGTATGCTTGCCTCTTCCTGTTTTTCACTTCATTGTTCAGTCATTTAGCTAGAACATGCTCATCTTTGCATTTTTTGCAGAGCTTTTTTTTTTCCCTGCAACAACTGAAAACATAAGGGCAAGATCTGTATTGCCATCTGTCAGTCTTCATGGCTATATTTTAACTGAAATTCAACCTTTACAACACACTGAGGGGACTTACAAAGAAGATGAAACTTTGCAAATAAAAAATTAAACTTGTTTTTAATTTGCCTCAACATGCATTAACACCATTTGCATACGTACTTATCTGTGTAATTCAATTCATATATACATACAGCTCAGGAACGCCTTTAAAAAAAAAATTATCAGGAAGCATTTTTTAAGTGGCTATTATGGCAAGTACAATTTATACTTGGCAGACGGGCACTTTCAATATTTTTATTCCAATAATACTACTAAAAGTATTTCAGGTTTAGATAGCACCTTTCATCAGCACTTCTCAAACTGCAAAAGCATAGGCTTCCTGCTTCCCTGTGAAAACTACCATGCTAATTAAATCACCTAGGATACTGCTGCAAAATTTCAGCATATGCTGTCTATGCTGATGGCTTTGGACAAAGCTCTGGAACTGACCTTTGGTACAAGAAAAAGGCTTGATCTCCTGTGCCAGAAAGAACTATGCTGGTTCTTCTTAAGTAGATGCACAACTAAAATTTGTATTCTATGGAGGTCCTTGTGATAATGCTGGATAAAGACTTTTATGACTTAAAACTGTTCTATCTAGAGACTTAAAATGGGTGCACTGCATTAAATATGCAGATATACTTATGATCACTATCTATCAATGAAATGAAACTGTACCTAGAGCAAAACACAGCTGCTACGAATTCATTGAAATCTTACAAGTAGCTCAGGACAAATTATATTACAAAATACAGCACTTGGATAGCACAATTACTTTGTAAGCAAGATTTGCCTGCTGTGGTATTATGGAAAATTAATAAACTCTACATGACTGAGTAGAGCTTTTACTTCTTTTTTTTTTTTTTTTTTTTCCCCTAAATTAAAGATGGTATGTTTAGAGTCTCCTACTCCACTCTTTAAAATCAGATATTAGAGAAGATCAGTGTAAAACTTGATTCTGGATTTCCTAGCATTAGTTTTGTTAAAGTAAATAATTTTTCAGATTATTTTATGAAAAACAACACTGACAAAATCTGTGTTGGTGTGCAATATATCTGATGTCACTATTTACCTCCACTTACTTACCAAATAACAGGTATCATGTTTTAACACTGAAGGGTGTGTTTTTCCTTTTGTTTTTGTATATATTAAGGTATCTTTAAATAATCTTTCTTTCAACATTTTGTGGTTGTTTTTTTTTTTTTTATTTCCCTTGGGGCATTTAACTTTGAAAAGAATACTGTTAAGAGTACATAAATTTCCTGCAATTTCTACCCATCTGGAAGATACATAAAAATATAAACATGCTCCACTGATTTCACTGAAGTAATAATAAATAACACTAAGCAATTCAGTGCTGTAACTTAGAGATTAATAGACAAAGGAAATATTCTTTAGAAAAGGTATTTTGCTTGCCTTACTAATACTGAATCTGAAATATAAGAAAACCTACCTTGCATGTTTAAAAACTGAGAATAAGAAATTTCTGTTATAGAGCAGAAACATGGCAACATTGTTTTGTTTTTTTTTTAATTAAAAAAAAAAACAAACACAAACAGGTTGATAATATTCAGGAGCATCTGTTGAAATAACTTAAGGCCCCAAACTTGCACAGAACTATTTATGCTTAACTGTATCTAAGATTAAACGTACTTAAGTTAACTAGGACTATTCTTGGGTATTAAGTCTTTCTGTTTTATAAATCCTACAAAAAAAATCTTATGGAACCAGACATTTTAATATTAGATCAAATTTAGAAAGTCATATGCTATTTACTTTTTTAAAAAATTAGGAATTTTCCTGACATGAAAATTACAACAAAAGAATGCGTATCTCAAAATTCATCAACTGTTAAACACAGAATGAAGACTTCCTTGAAAATAAAAAAGCTTACTAAAAATAACAACCAACTTCTGAGGCAGAGTGCAGCGCTCAATATGGAAAAGTATTTTGGAGATATCTATGACTAGAGGATATTCTTCAAAAATGCATCTTGTATACAGAGCCCAAGTGAATTTAAAAACCCCTTTTTCTTCCCCTTAATTTGTTTTAAACTTGAATAACCTATTTTTGCATTCTTTTTAGAAATGTATGTGTATATAATATGTCTGGATACAGATACATTTTTTTGCTTAACACAAAAGTCTCACAGAATTTCCTCACTATATTAATAACCTACCTGATGAGCCAAATCCACCAAGTGCAGAGCCGATAGCTGCTCCTAAAGAGCTGCTACTTCCAAAGCCAAGAGATGTGCTTCCTGGTTGGCCAGGACCATGTGAAAAAAGGGAACTGCTCTGGGAGTTACTGGTCAAAGAGTTACTGCCATAAAATGAATTGGATTGTAGGCTACTATTTGTTTGCTGTTGCTGTTGTTGTGGCTGGGCACCAAGTGGCCGAAATAGACCGTTCGTGGCTCCCGCGAGATTGTTTGCTGTTCCTCCAGCTGAAGCAGCTGCAGCTGTAAAACACATGTTTTCAATCATAATTACTCTCTCAAGCATTTCTGACTGAAAATGGACTATTCAGATCTAAATCGTATTTTCTTGAAGCCCTCTTAAACAAGCAGAAATTCACATATTAAAGGACTAAAAGAGACAGATAGTATTACACAGTCTTAATTACCCGAGGAAAAAAATGAAGACGGCGTATGTTGTAGACTAATCAAGGCTGTAGAATTGTTAATGTAATTGAAGGAATTTTCAGTGTAAACATATAAGACATTACTGTTTACTGAACTGTATTTTTATATCCAAAGTCACAATAGCAGAGTTGCAGCTAAGACATCATTCAAAGACATCTTCAGCTACTAACATCAGAAGTGAGTTCTGCATAGAGAAAACAGCTTACAGATTAACTTAAAAATCTAATTTTCTGAACAGATTGATTAAATTAATCTGGTGTTAGTACTTTGGATTTTAATTTAACAAATGCAATAAATACAATGGTTCAGTAAAGTAGTACCAGACCCTATCACTGATAAAGAGAAAAAGAAAACTAGAGACTTTTGATATAACTAATTCTCCTCTTCTGCTGTCCATTCTACTTTTTTTTTTTTCCTTGCCACACTTTTCAGGAGAAAATACTTTCACGAGAAAAGCACAGCAAAGCCCCAGAGCACTCCATCATCTTCTGCCAGGCCGAAGCAATGAAATGATGCTTCCTAGAGGACACCATTTAGGGGATTGATGAGAAGTGCATGTTATATGCATGGGGAGAGGAAAGGGGAAAATGTTCATATCTGACAAGCAACAACATTTGCAGAAACATGCCTGTATATGTATGGGGAGAGGACTGAAAATTTGAATTAAAAAAAGCAAAACTACATGTCTGAGAAACAGCAGTGTCTCTCAGAGAAAGGGAGGCAACAGAATAAGAAAGAGAGCATGTATGGTATATTCTTCACAACTAGAAAACTTCACAGATGCATACAAAACACATCAACAACATCAAATACTAATCAACCAATATTACTGTTAAGATTCAATACAAAAGTGGAAGAAACCTCCACACAGGATCAAATCCTTACCTGCCTGTGCTGCTGCAGAACTGATTATAACAGGAGTTGAGGCCACCAATCTGACTGGTGCTCCAAGGCCAGTTCTCGCTCCAGGGCCTACTACTAAGGCACCAGTCTGATCGTAATAGGCAGTGGGAGCTAGTACTTGATAGCCTACACAACACAGAATACAAGAATTAGTAGTACAGATAGTCCCATATAGTTGGCATTTCTTCTCTCCTTGAAATATTCTGACAACGAACTACATGGGGGAAAAGAGCATTTCTGCCATATTGCCTTAGAACGTCAACTGGACATCAAAAGAAAAAACAGTGAACATCGTAAAACAGTGTGACAAAATCTTATTTAGGAATGCTCTACATAATTTTAAAAACTAGAATAACAGCTAAATTTAGTAGTCTAAAGTTGAATTTTATTTTCAAGGTTAACAAGGTAAGTTTCTAACACCATAGTTGAAAAGGTAGAGGAACACCACAACTGGCCATATTTGGATCATTATTGAATCAACTTCTTTTAGCAATTTAAAATATTCTACATTTCTCTTGTTCTCCTTTTTACATGGAAAAGGTATTGAAATCTGTACTATTAAAGGGCTGAACTAAATGCAAGTTTGGCGATTCCATACATTACCTACCCACACTTAAAAGCCCATCTACAAAAACACATTAGGAAAGGAATGCTCTATGTGCAGGAATACCTTGGACCACAACAAAAATTATCTAGTCCCAGTCAGTTTCACAGAAAACAGACTGTAATCCATGCTTAATTTCATTCAGTTGACAGTTGAGAGTTGGAACTGGGGAGAGAAAGAAGGAGGAATTGAAAAAGGAGAAAAGGAAGCAGTAAGAAGGAAAACAGGATACAAGATACGAATGAAGGAAAGCAAAAGAGAAAAAACAGCAAAACAAAACCCCTTTATTTAGGACAAGAGCAAGAGAATTAATTTTAAAGCTCTGACACTTTGTAATGAAGTAGAAGAACTGGAATAAGAATCCCTAGAAAATGGAAGACAAGAGCTAGGATAATCTAAGAAAGAGTGCTAACAATGAAAAGCTAACACCATCTAGTTTTTAGGTTGACTATTCTTAGAAAGCAATAAAACAAAACCCAAGAGAATTTCAATATTCCTCCCATGTTCAAATATATACTAATGCTATTAAAAAAAAGTCAAGACTGCAAAAACCACACATCTATTTTTGTACATGTAAGAACCAAGATTTTGCATACTACTTTAAGTCAGTTTCCATGTATGTTCAGTACTAGGTCTAGCAGAGTTCTCTCTGAAACACATATGGACCTGAACATAAAGACCTGGGCCTCTAATTCCAGATGAGTACCTCAATCACCAGGCTTCCAAGTCATATTTTATCCTCCTCATTTTCTAAAACATCTGTGTAATTTCTTCTGCCTAGCTGCCTTGCTCCAAAAACAGAGCTGGAAACACCATCTGCCTACTGGCCTGGTGGTTACAGTACTCTGCAGGTAAGCTGGAGACACAGGTCCAAATTCTGTCAACTAAGAAAATCTGAAGAAATGAAGGAGACTCAAATAGTAACTGAAAAGGAGAGGAGTGATGAAAATACAGATCTTTAGGTTCAATTCACAGTTCTGGAGATGAATGCACTATACTGATTATGAAAACTTGTCATTACTATCATTCCAAACCTGTTTGTTCTCAATGCTCACAGAGCATTGTCCTCCACAGAGGAGGACTTCGTCTGAAAGTTTGGCTCGTTAAAACCAACCAAAACAGGTTCTTACAATTGAATTGGTTAGGCAACCTTTGCTATAGGTGCCACTGCCTCTTCCACCCACAAAACTGCGCTGTGCTGCTCCACCACCTTTACCACTACGGCAGATTGCTACATTCCCAAGG